AGAATTTGTTTACAAAGAATTCCTTTATGAGCTCTTGTACTTACCCATTTAAATTTATTTCTTTAAACTTGTACTTTTTACCTATATTAATTATCGAATATGAATGATATTTTAATAATTCTATCTTTTCTATGATTTTATTGTTTATTGAATAATTTATATATACCTTGCATAAACTAATAATAAGGTTCATCAACTGTGTAATAATTTTTGAATTTTAAAATCTATTTATTTAATGTAAGTACTGAATATACTTAATAATCTCATAATCGTAAACTAAGCCCTATTAATTATACATTTTAGATTTGAATATCTATTTCTATAAGTCAGAAATAACATGATCATTTAAAATATTATTAAATTGTAAAGTTTATTACTCCTCTATTAAAACAAATAAAGTAAAATATCAATCACTTAATTTATACTTATGGTTATCTCTAATTGAAACAAATTATGGATGGATTGTATTTATGAATTATTTTTAAATTTGTTTAAATGTGAGGCCTAAAATTAAGACTATTTTACCTAGATTGATCAAGATTAATAGATATTTATAAGAGTACTAAGATACGGAAACATATCATTTTCTATTTAAATAAAAAATACAAAAGTACTTTCATGAAGAAGTGATGCTTTGACAAAAAAATAAAATCAGATTAATTTTTTAAATTAGAAATAAATCTTAGTTAATGAAAACCATTATTTTTTTGTTTCTTTTAAATCTAGAGTCTTAAAAGTTTATGACTATTATACTTTAATGGATTGCATTAATAGAGAATTGAGGATATAATATATAAATCATCCTATTTAATCATGAAAATTTATAAATACAGGTTCATTTTTATTCATTTTACTTTCATTCAGTTTTACTTAAATAATATATTTAAGCAAGAAGTTCAGATTCAATTTCTTGAATTTTATTAATAATAATTGATTTCTTCAGCAGAGTCAAAGTTACCAAAAAAGAAAGTATTTCTTAATTTATATAAATTTAACTACAATTATGCCTCTTCAGCATTACAAGTGATTAAAGTCAGCATTGTATCTCAATTTAATTACTATCTTATTAAGAATACACAGGTACTTGATTCATGCCTTTGGTATCTGGAGGAGCATAGAACCAAAAATTAATTAATATAAGATAAAATTAAGTTTTGAGTAAATAATAAGAAAAGAAATTAATTATTCGATTCATCAAATAAATAATATTTTGGTAATTATCAATATTATTAATATCTATATTTTCAATTTGATTGAAGAATAAACATTAAACTATAAGCCCTATTAAAGTGTTTAAAAAGGTTTTGATTTTTTTAAATTGAGAAAAAAGAATCATTCCAACTTGATTTATGAATTAAAAAATTTAAGATTAAAAATAGATATTTATGTATATTTTAAAAAATAATAGAATAAATCATTATTCCTGATATTTCCTAATCTGATATTCTTTTGATTGAGCATCCCAAGTAATCAAATACTATCCATCATCAGTCATACATCCAAAAATCTGATATGTTTGAAACTAAATAGATTACTCAATTGTAAATTCACCATTTTATTACTTTCTTATTAAATTCACATTTGAAGCATTCTTATTCACAATAATACATTTAGATTTTATGTATTATTAAGGAAATTGTG